GATCCTGTTTAATCATTATAGCATATAATGCTGGATAGTTTTATTTTTCCCTCACGATACATGCGTCTAAACAGAGGAATTGCTCTGACCTGTGATTCGAGGATAAAAATAGAATTTGTGACGTTTCGTTTCACCGGCCAAACTCTGTAAATTTTTAACGCATTTTATGTCACAGCGATCGCTTGCACATGAACACGCACCGTGTAAAAATAGGAGAATTAAAATTCTAGATTCAAGAATAAACATTCAACTTCAAGATATACTGTTGAGATATAAAGATAACGTATAATAGGCGGATATATAGTTCATTTTTTATATACGTGCATACACACGAGGTCGATAATAAATGTACATGCATGTACAATTCATATCATAATATTTCAACGCAACACGTACTACCAGGAGTCTATCAATATTGATAGACTCCTGGTACTACCGCACGATATGTACTGACTACAGTACTGTAGGCCTAGTACTAGTAGTAGTAGTAGTAGTAGTAGTAGTAGTAGTAGTAGTTCTCGCTGTCCCGTACATGACTTCATCTCTATAAANAAAAGAAAGGAGATAACTTCTTCTTTGTCGCTCAGATTTGTGTGTGTTGCAAGTTGGCTTTGACTTGAATTTTATGGTTTCTGAACTCTTTATTTGACAGAGAAAAGGAATGGAAATGCTTTTGTGAATAACTGTTTGGATATATTCGAACTTATAGACGGCCATTTTGGCCGGAAACCTCGGTATTATTTATTTCAAATCCGATTTCAACACTATTTTAAGTAACTGATTCTCTATCAGTTGAGGCAAAAACAATTCTTTTCATGGATAAATTTACCTTTTTTATTTTTAATAGAGCGGCCTATTTTGGGCAGCTACCTTTGTTTTTTATTTGAAATCAATTTCATATGGTTTTTAGTTCTTCATCAGAGGCAAAGCAAAAACATTTTTTTTTATACGAACACAAATGTTAAATGTGATCTTTTAACGCTTTGTATTCTAAACGATGTAAATCTTTTTGTAATTTAAATAAATTGCATGTTTATTCAGTGCAGTTCCAACACTATCTAACCTGTTTGTATCCGCGGTAGATCTTTCTTATTTCGATTTTCATTCAATATGCCTCTACTTTTCAAAAAAATAATAACTTTTAACTTTGTATATGAGGAAACTTGAAAACAGTTATATGACGCGATAAATGCAACATTGCATGGGTACTCGCTAACACACACAAATCAAACTAATCCAATATTCGCGTTCAGTGCTTGAATGAGGACTAGGCTAGCTAAGGGGGGGGCGGCACAAGGAGGCCATGACCCCCTTCTTGATCGCGAGAGTCACAAAAATTAAGAGAGAAGGGACCCTGTAATGCGGTATTGGTCTATACCACATATTACCTACACCGTAATATGAAGAAGATGAAATGCGCAAAAATTCCATTTTGATGCACATATTTTTCAAAAATTACCCTACTGTGGGAGGCGAAACACCCTCCCCCGTGAGAAATTGCTTCATCGCCTGTCTTGGCGGTTCGCTTAAACTCTTTCTTCCCTCCCTGAAAAAACACGGCTTCGTACACCATTTTCACTGGTCTAGCTAAAGGGTCCACCAACGTGGTCGTGTGCTAACCCTCAGAGCCTTCTCGGCGCGCACAGCAGGGGCGCATCGCTCCCACGTTTGCATCGGACTCGGTAGTCGGAAAAAATAAAAAGCGAGGGGAGGGGGTTATAAGGGATTACATATGTCCACTTCTCATATAAGTTACTTACTCCTAATACTGAACTTTAGTGTGCAGAAAATGCCATTTTCATGCACGAATTTTCAAAAATCTCTCTACCGTGGGAGGAGGGGGGGATACCCCTCCCACACCCTACCCCCTCGGTCGCTTCGCTCCCTCGCCTTGGCCCCCCCTGTTTCCAATTGCTGGCTACGCCACTGGACACAGCATAGGTTTGCCTTAGTGTATAAATGCTTCATATATATATAAATAGAATATGCTATTTCTATTACGTTTAAATATAATCTATTTATATCTAAGTCTTATGCAAAAAGTGACGTCCCAAAAAACCATGGTGACATTTTTATAGGGAGTGCGTGGAGTGGTGGAAATTCGTGATCTCGCGATGGTGACTCACAAGTTCAAGCATTCCAACGTTTAAATATTAAGCTAAATAAATAATGTTACTAATGAGAGTGTATCTAAAAGTAATTTAAAAGTAATTCATAAAGAAACTACGAAGCATATATAGCCTTTAAAAATAAAAATAAAAATAAAACGAGAAAATTGTTAATGGAACTGCCGAGAGATGGCGCGCGTAGATGTGATAGTTTCCTTGTACCAAAATACATGTACTCTAGATTTTGTTTTTCGTGTTAGTATGCAGTTTTCCAAATCCTAAACACTATGGCGATCTACGCATTAGAGAGATACACATTATTACATTTAAATGCGATGGACAGATATGTAAAACCGTAATGGATAATACAGCAGACGCCCGAGAACAGATATTCCACAACGCAGTTCGGGAATACATTGTAAGTTTATGTGACGCTTTCATTGAAGGTCTATTACTATTTAAGTATTACTATTAGTATTAGTACTATTAGTATTACTATCTATTACTATACTAGTATTAGTATTAGACCATATAATATATTGCTGGCTGAAGCCTTTACTGAAGGTTCCCGTCAGCAATATCTACAAGTGATTGCCAATTCCATTGTAAAAACAAACTAGACTTACATTGGACAGATATGGGTATTATAATAGGCCAGGCCTAAACTCTACCCATCTAATTAACCTTAACCTTAACTTTAAGGCTTAACCTAATTCCAGGTCCTGGCATAGGCTAAATAGCATTGCATTTTAATTACAATGTCATCTTAGAAATTACATCAGTACAGCATCAGGGACATAAGCTTAACATGGATCAAGGAGTTTCTCAGCGACCGGACCCATCAAGTCGTCATTGATGGAGTGTCATCGGATAAGGTGAAGGTGGAGTCTGGGGTACCTCAAGGCACTGTCTTGGGCCCTCTACTCTTCTTACTCCACATTAATGACCTTTCTGACGCTGTCGTATCCCAAGTGAGGCTATTCGCCGACGACTGCCTGATCTACAGAGAGATCCGATCGATCGCTGATCAGATAGAGCTCCAGCGGGACCTGGAACGCCTTCACGACTGGGCATCAACTTGGGGCATGCGATTCAACACAAAGAAGTGTAACATACTCCGAATCCATCGACGAGCTGGTACTCCATTTTCCTTCTTCTACGAGTTGGATAAGCATATCTTAGAGAAAGTGACCACCACTAAGTACCTCGGCCTGAACTTCTCCTTCAACCTAAAATGGGACGACCACATCAGTGCGATTTGCGCAAAGGCCAACAGCACGCTCGGTTTTCTACGCCGCAACTTGAAATTTGCTCCAAAAACACTCAAAGAGGTTGCATATAAGTCATTAGTTTGCTCAAAATTGGAATTCGCATCTATTGTTTGGGATCCGTTCCTGGTCAAAAACATTGATAAGTTGGAAAAAGTTCATAGAAGGGCAGCCAGGTTCGTATGTAGATACTTCCAGCGTGACAGTAGCATTACTAAAATGCTAGGAACTTTGAATTGGCCTTCTCTTGCTCAGCGGCGGAGCGATCAGCGCATAGCATTCGTGAAGAAGATAATGTCTTCTTCAGTGGCGGTACCAGCAGATCAGTATACCTACAAACCTGGACCCCAGCGAACATGCAGTAAGAACTTCAGACAGTGCTAGTCAACACCGAAGAGTTTCGCCATTCCTTCTTTCCGAGAACTATTCAACAGTGGAACCAGCGTACCGAGGCCGAGATAGACCTTATCTGTTCCACTGCCGCTGACGACAACATCTAAGCGCACACCTCCCTGCGTTATTATCCACGTAACCGTGTGTTACGCAGATAACTATCCAGATCTGTCCCAACAAAGACTGACATTATAGATACTCGCTTTATCTCCGGACAATACCAACATGGAATGCCCTACCACCTACTACCAAGACTGCCCCTGATGTGGCGTCATTTAAAAACTTAATTAACAGCGGTAAAAAAACGGTGAAGAAAATTTTGGTCATCAAAGCGATGCATGACGACCTGTATGTCTATAGCCATACCAGGCGATTAATACAGTATCAGACAAGACAAGACAAGGCTAGGACTCTTCGTCAATACTTCTTGTCCAATACTGCGACCCCTAGTATGTGACTTCACGGCCGTTTTCATGCGGCGTAGTACTAAGTAATGTTCCATCGGGCAATTTTTTGGAGAAAAGTTAGATGATGCTATTAAATTTCATGCAAGCGACAATCACCTCTCCAGAAAATGGCAGAATGCCGTATCGCATATCAGTATCGAGTGTCAGTATTCTAACGTCAATTCAGCTCAATTTAACCACTTTACACCTATTTAATTAATACTACTACACTTATAGAACTTTGAAAAGAATGGACAGTGAGTCTAGCAGTTAGCTGGCCTTTGCTGGACCCACCTATTTTTTTGTCAGTTTTAATGTACTTTGAGCGGCGAGTTATGGGGAAAATAGTTTCGGACACTGGGTCTGGCATGCAAGTTAAATCTACCGAACCTACCCAAAGCTGCTACTAGACTTAGTCCAATAGGTCCAACGAAATTTGAGTTCTCTCCTTATGTATATATTTTACTGATATATTTTCGAAGCTAATGACACCTATGTGTGTGCCATCAAAGCTATATTACTCTGGACATTTGTAAATGCAACTACAGCAGCGTCTCAATAATTCGGCCTTTGGTTGTACGACATCTCTCTTTATCTGACGTAGTCAGTAAACTTGCTTTATATTTGTACTGTACAGTGTTTTACTGCGTGTGCGTGTGTAATATTTCGTTGAATCCAATGTTTTTTGTATCTGAGTGCATCATATATCACGACTGATATACCTTCATGGACTGCGGCTGTATTTACATGCAAATTTTACCTCCAGTGTGTAAGCTAGTAACGTTAGAGATGTGAACAGACCGGAACTAAAGACCTTTAAAATACCCATTTACCCCCCTCCCTCACACACACACACCGTTTTGAAAATAAACGCAGGTGCCAGTGCTAGTAGTAATGACAGACTCACATCATATAACATTAATAGTTGAATCAATTTTCGAGATTTGAGCTATATTTAATTATTTACATAGTTTGCATTATGGCTGAATAATGTATTGTTAATACGTGAAAAGTGAGCAGATGGAACATGTGTACTTTGTGTTAATTATACCAAGCCTAAACAGCAACTATACTAGCAACCCCTGGGGGACATAGACCCTATCAGCCTAACGCGTGCGTGCTGCTATGTAAATAATAAATACGTGAGCAAGCTGTATCGTGGAAATACATATAGCAATTTACTTAAAATATCTCCCTGACTGCTTCTGGATGAGCACTCCACGTGAAAATCCTAGCTTTAGGGTTCTTATTACTTGAAGGTACTTGTTGCGCTGCTCGTGTTGATGGACACACTCGTGTGTCATTGCTGTGACACACGTGACAGCAATAAACGGTTGACTAGTGATGTCTCGATTATCGATTATAATCAAAAGTCACTTGTTTGCAGCAACCGACTAAGCGTACGATTACGAAAATAAATAATCGGTTATCAAAATTTATTTTTTCCAATTTCAAGTAAAATTTGCAAACATTGATGTATTATATGATATATGATATATATCTATATCTGGTGGCCACGATCAATAACTTAGAACCAATTATCTTCGATCATCGATCGGTTGGGTGGAACCGATGATCGATGATCGATGATGAAATTCCAATAGATTCCCATCCCTACGGTTGACGGTTTTGTTATCTTTGTCACAGATATATCTGCTGTTTATCATCACACTTTGCATCGTGTCCTACGCCATCCTCAATCGCTTCAAACGCAGGGCCGAAAGAGATGACTACTATTCAGGTAACTATTATTCGTCGCAAGTTCGCAACCTTTTTTTAGCTGATGCATGTCGACTCGTGGATGCCACCACGAAAACCTATCGACTGCAGAACTCACTTGTGTAATACAGTATCACACCCGACAATAAGTAGTTAGTTAGAACTCGCCAGGCGGGTTGGGTAAGTACTCGGAATCGGAAATTACGTTGGGCAAAAACTGGGGACATTGAGGCGTTGTCGACGGGAATTATTTCGAGGCAAGTTAGTTGGTATTTTCTTAACAAATATTATGGTATATATATGTTTGTGTATGTGTGTGCGTGTGCATGTGCGGGTATGTGCGCTTGTGTGTACGTATACGTGTGTGTGCGTGCGGGTATGTGCGCTTGTGTGTACGTGTGTGTGTGTGCGCGTGCGGGTATGTGTGTGTGTGTGTGCGTGTGTGTGTGTGTGCGTGCGGGTATGTGCGCTTGTGTGTACGTATACGTGTGTGCGCGTGCGGGTATGTGCGCTTGTGTGTACGTATACGTGTGTGCGCGTGCGGGTATGTGCGCTTGTGTGTACGTATACGTGTGTGCGCGTGCGGGTATGTGCGCTTGTGTGTACGTATACGTGTGTGCGCGTGCGGGTATGTGCGCTTGTGTGCGTACGCGTGCGGGTGTGCGTGCATGTGCGTGTCCGTATGTAGGTGACTGAGGATTGTAAATAGGCCATATTCCAATATAAATACACCTAGTATGTTCCACGTATCTCTACTGTATGCATCCCATGCTGGTAAATTCGTACTGGCCATTCTGCGACTCTGTAGCAGGCAACGCAAGTAGCAACTTGCCGTCTTAATACTTCGCAACGCCTTGTATTGCTAGCTAGGGCCACTGGCAGCGAGATTAAGTGCGACCCCCTAAGGCCTTCCTCACCACGCTCACGCTACATATATATATATATATTTTAATATATATATATGTTATATATTATATGTTATATATTATACCTAGCTAGCTAAGCCTCGAATGTCGTCTATCTCGTGTGAAC